GGCTCTTTATATGTGAATAAATGAAGATGTGAATGGCCTGTATTGGAACATGACTGTGGCCTTTTCTCTCCACTATTTAATGCTGTAACTTTTGTCCTGAGCACGAAGAAAAGTAGCCATATCCAAATGGGTGTATCAGAACATGTCTAAGACTAAATGTTAGTATAAGCAGATGAAAATCGTGTTGTATGATTTTATAAATTTTTCTGTGTAGTATCACGCTTCTGTTTTTTGTAACAGGGATAACTAAAATTGTCCATATGGGATTTTAGAGGCAAAGATAAGATTTCTAGATAAAAATTAATTTCAATCATAAACCACAGATCAATGAATGGGTTCAAAGAAATGCAAGGGAAGCCCTTGGACATTTTTTTCAGGGTATATATGAACAAATCTGCCTGAGTGGTAGCATTGTGGGTAGTGGTACTGATACTGCTGGATTAGGGTGAAAAATGTGTATTTCTAAACGTCTGTGATTCTGATTAAAAAAATAGCACAATACTTCACTGCTCCATCTGGTTATTAGGTCTAATAATGGCCCTAAGAAATCATTGACACTAGAAGATGGTGATGCATGGAAAGGGTGTGAAGGACCCAGGAAGGTTCCACTCAACTTATACTTGAATAAAACAGCCATCCTTTCTTCTTTTGCCCGTTGGGCTTACAAAAACTATAGATGCCATTTTGCAATTTTTTTTTCTTTTAGTTTCTTTACAATTTATGACTTAACTGGATTTTTCATTAATATTTTACATGTTGAAGAACAGTGTTTTAAGTCCTATGATTCTCCTGTGCCTAAACTTAGTTTCTAAATTATGTCATGTGTTGAGAATTGTACCAGGAGTTAAAACCTGGCAGTTAAAAACTTGGATTCAGTACAGGTTTTCTACTGTTCCTTGGAATCACTCAATATGACCTCTTGATGGGTGGAAGGCCCTCTTTCTCTCTTTTCTTTTTGTAGTTCCTAGGGATTTTAAAGTTGGGAGGCCAGAGAAATACAAAATTGATGATGTGACTTTATTTGGAAAATGTGATTTTATTTCTACATATTTTAGATGGATGCTTTTTAAAAATGTGTATGACCAATGAGAACTTCTAAATATGTACGCATGCTTTTTAAAAAATTGGCTTTAAAACATAAAATGTTTTATTGTCTTGTGTCTTCATGTAGTAGATTATAGTTCCTTTTGTTATTCTACAGAAGGTCCCCAATGGAAGAAGGTTAATGAGAAAGGATTCTAGAAAGATAATGAAAAAATTTTTTTTTGCCTGATACTTTTGTTATAATGGAATTAAGCTTATAATTATTATAGTATATTCTGCTTGAAACATCCATTAGTGTTGCAAGGATTATAGAGATAGGAAAATCCCTTATATATTTGTTAATGGAAAATCATAGTAAAAACAAATCTCCAAATACCTGTTTGTAGGCAAGAACATAAGCACATCCACACTGGAGTAGATAACCAGTCTTTCCCTTCATATATATTCTTTTTATTTTCTTGTTCTACCTTCCCCAGAGACATTAATAGTAGTTAGAATGGCCATCTCCCAACATTAAAAAAAAAAACTGTACTCCTCAATGTGGTGAACAAAGTAAGGACCTAGATAGAGTTTAGCTGAGTGGGCCATTGTGGAGTCTTTTTTTTTTTTTTGAGCTGGAGTCTCACTCTGTCGCCCAGACTGGAGTGCAGTGGCTGCTCCTGGCCACCGCAGCCTCGACCTGCTGGGCTCCGGCGATCCTTCCGCCTCAGCCTTCCGAGTAGCTGGAATTACAGGCGCCCGCTCCCACGCCCGGCTAATTTTTTGATTTTATTGTGGAGATGAGGTCTTGCCTGCCCAGGCGAGTCTCGAACCCGTGGGCTCAGGCAATCCACTCACCTCAGCCTCCCAAAGGCCGGGGATTACAGGCTGAGCCACCGAGCCCGGCTCATTATGGAGTCTTAAGTGGTGAGGCCTTCCGATTTCAGTGTGCTGTGTCTTCAACTTGTATCATCATTTTAGTGGAAAGCCATAATTTAATTCTGGAGAAATGAGATTCATCTCCCAACAGAGTTAGTAACAGCATTCACTAAATTTCACTTTCTTCTTTTGTGAACTGTGAAAACACTGAATGGTAACTAGAAAATCAATGGGATTCCAGCTCTGGGGACAGATGAAATGATAATATACCAGTACAAAAGCACCTATATTTTGATTTTCAAAGCAGATATTTTAAATCTGCAGCTTAATTACAGGTATACTATACCATAACCTTTTGAAATGACAAGAATACACAAATATTCCAGAATATAGGTACAGTCTAAGTGTATAGTAAATAAAAGCACTGAGGAAATATATTTTGAGTTGGAGTCTCACACTGTTACCCAGGCTGAAGTGCAGTGGCACGCTCATGGTCTTGGCAGCCTCGACCTGCTGGCTCAGGGGATCCTTTCCCATCTCAGCCTTCCAAATAGCTGGAACTACAGGCACATGCCCGGCTAATTTTTTGATTTATTGTAGAGACAAGGTCTCGCCGAGTTGCCCAGGCTGGTCTCGAACCCGTGGGCTCAGGCAATTCTCTCAGCTCGGCCTCCCAAAGTGCTGGGATTATAGGTGTGAGTCACTGTGCCTGACCCTGAAGAAATATTTTGTTAGAGGGAGTTCAGCTTGGAACGGTTATTACCAAAGTTAAACACTCTTCTTTTATATAAACTATACTCAAAAATAGTTCTGTGGGACTGATTCCTGGCTAAAAAGTATCAAATGGTTTACTGGTCAAGAAACAAATACCTTAACTGACAAGGGTGGATAGAAGAGAAACAGAAGATTCCTACCCTAAAAGTTCACTTACTAAGATTTTTTTCAGTAATTATGGTACTAATATATCCCTTAATGGCAGAATGAGTAATTATGGAATTAATTATAGCTGAAGTAGCTTTTAAATGAAAAAGGGAAACAAAAGCAAAAAGAAGTGAATTCTGATGTAATCTGACCAAACACATGTCAATTTACAATTTCAAGTTTAGATCACAAAATAGTTACATTTACACCACAGGTTCCTGGCAGCATTTCTAGACAAATGTTCTTTTAATTTATCCTGACAGGCTATTCATGAAGAAATTACACTATGTAAATAATTATCATTAACAAATTTTCCTTTCCCTTGGGTCAGAGAAAAAGAAAAGAGCATTCTAATAAGACTGAGAGGGAGGGCAAGCACCCAGATCACTTAGAGAAGAGAGTGGGTGCTAGGGGTCACCAATTATTGAAACTCACAGTGTGGTGCTTTCCGAGATGTCAACTGCTTTTAGCCATTACATAAGTATTTTTTTTTTTTTTTTGTTGGAGTCTCACTCTGTTGCCCAGACTGGAGTGCAGTGGTCGCTCCCGGCCACTGCAGCCTCGACCTGCTGGGCTCCGGCGATCCTTCCGCCTCAGCCTTCCATGTAGCTGGAACTACAGGTGCGCGCTACCACGCCCGGCTAATTTTTTTATCTATTGCAGAGATGAGGTTTCGCCTGCCAAGGCGGGTCTCGAACCCGCGGGCTCAGGCAATCCACTCACCTTAGCCTCCCAAAGGCGCAGGATTACAGGCTGAGCCACCGAGCCTGGCTTCATAAGTATTTTAAAGAAAAACCTGTTGTAATCAAACTTTAATGCTTTCATTCTTATTCAGAATCAGCCCAGCAGTTAGTCAGCTGCAGAAATCACAATACCAAGTTCTGGCGCAGTAGCAGGTATTGTGCCGGCAAGTCATTAAAAAAAGAAAAATGATAGTGCCTTTCCTCTTCAGACACACCATTTTTTAAAATAAAAAAAATAAAAAAAGTTACAATACTAAGGCTTGCAAAGGAATATCATGTAACAAATGGCTTTAAGCAGTCTATTAAAAAATTGGGGAGGTTTTTATTTCATAGTGAGTCACCAAGGTATTTTGTTGTTTAAAAATCAACCTTTCCTCATAGAAAGTTTTAAAATTTCTTTCTTTTTTTTTAAAATCAATATTTTTTATTATGATATTGTGGGGTACAGTTAAGGGTTAGGTATACAAATATGCTTCGTTCAGGCCCCCTTGTTGATAAGAGGTGTCTCTCCATCCCCAGACAGATGTTTACTACCATTAGTCCCATTCCCCTTCCCCTCCCCCCCCATAGTTTCCCACCACTGTCAGTCATTTTCTTATGGTAGTACGTTGGATGATGAAAGTTTTAAAATTTCTGATGAACTCGCAAACAAAAAGCTCCCATTTAAGAATAAGAACAAAATCCTGAGTCATTAGAGATATTTACATTGATTACATTTACCTAAGTAACATTACATGTTCAGTTGTAAGATGTTAACTAAATTTCTACGACAAATATGCTTAAAAAATACCAAGAACTTGATAGAGCTGATGTAGAGTCCTAAGGATAATCTAGTAGCTACTAAGGTTTTCTTAAGTCTTCACAGGTTATCAGGCAGAATCTTTCGTATGTTCAAACACTGGGATTTTCGTTGCTATCATATCAAATGGCATGTAAACAAGAAGTCAATCATTTTAAGAACGTTTTAATAAGAGGACAACTTGCAAACCCCAGGGATAGAAAAACCCTAAGAATGCACAATTGCAAGCATTTACAACCATCACAACTCAACTGTGACTGAAAGACTGTTCTTCTGAAATGAGATCTCGAAGTACCTAGTTTAAAATAAAAAGTTTTAACAAAAATTGGCTTATGCACAATGTCTCCACCAATTTGTGTATACCAACCATTTAGTTACCTTTTCCACTTGAAGAAAATGCAATAGAAAAACCAGACACCGTGTTTCACTATCTCAGTTAATATTCACAATTACAGTGGCTACAACTTGGGATACAGCATCACCAATGCTGCTGTCAGTTCATATTAAGTTTTTACACCAAATAAATGGTTGCCCACAGCCACTGGCTAGTGTACATATGAATTAAAATTTCTCGATGTGGGGAGAAACAAATGTTGCTCTGATCACCTGCTCTGCCTCTTTTCCTCAATCCATGCTTAGGAACCTTTCACATTATTCTTGGCTATCTCCGTGTGCTTGCCTGGGAGGGTTTGGACCTGCAGGCCCTGCCCACTGGAAGAGGCTGCCTCCTGTGCTGCTTTCTGCTTTAACAGTGTCCAATCAAATGTGTAGTCATATTGATGGTTCAGGGTCCTGAAAAGAATGCGAAAAAGCTGCCTCAGATACATGTAATCCGGGGCTTCCTCAAAACGCAGCCCACGACAGTAGTTTAAGTACATGGCAAATTCTGGAGGAAATCCCTTACATAAAACCTCAACAGTAGTGGACATCTTCTTTTCACTAATCTTTTCAAATTTTTGTTTCTTTGTTAGAGCCTTTAGTCCTTGCCACGGCAGGTTGGATCTATTAAAATACATCAAGACGTAGCCTAATGATTCCATGTCATCTCGGCGACTCTGCTCAATGCCAAGATGGGCATTGATGCTGGCGTATCGGACAGTGCCACTGAGGTGCTTATCCTCTCTGTACGGTATGTGTTGCCTTGTCTTGGAGTCTTTGTACTTTTTGGCCAAACCAAAGTCAATAAGGAATAACTTGTTACAGTGATGCCCGGTCCCCATCAGGAAGTTATCTGGTTTAACGTCTCTGTGTATAAAATTCTTTGTGTGCATGTATTCAAGTCTACTGATCATCTGGTCCGCCAACATAAGCACAGTCTTCATCGTGAACTTTCTCGAACAGAAATTAAAGAGGTCTTCGAGGCTGGGTCCCAGGAGATCCACGACCAGGACATTGCAGTCTTTCTCCTGGCCATACCAGTGCATGTGGGGAATGCCCACCCCGCCCTGGAGAATCGTGTAGAGCTTGCTCTCGTACTGCAGCTGGGGGTGCTTGATCTTCTGAGATTCCAGCTTCACCGCCACTTCCTCGCCGTTGGCGGTGGTGACCGCCAGATAAACATCCCCAAAGGAGCCAGCCCCGATCTTCCGCACCAGTTTGTATTTCCCGCCCACGATGAGTTCAGCCTTGGAGCCGCTGCTGCTCGCCATGCGGAGAGACCCGGGTGGAGGTCGGGCCCGGCCGCGGCGACGCCCCTGACGGGAGGACGCAGGTTGGCGGGGCAAGGCGGCGGTGGCGGAGGGCGGCAGGAAACGGCGCGTGGAGGCCTCTCCCGGAGTTACGGCGCCCGGAAGGGGTTCCCGGGGGAACCTGATCGCGCGGTCAGGTTTCTCGCCGGGCCGCGCTCTGGGAGGGCCTCTCCCGGTG